GACCTCAAGAAAACATATATATGTCTGGTCGGACAGCAAAGCTGCCATCAAAGCCCTAAAGAGACCAAGCACCGAATCGGGGCTGGTCTGGGAGACGATGGCAGCTATAGAAGCACTAGGGGCAACCAATAAAATAACTTTGGCATGGGTCCCGGGCCACAAAGGGATAAAAGGAAACGAGATAGTGGACCAACTGGCAAGGCATGGGGCGTCAAATGATGACCAGGTCGTGACAGTGGCAGTCCCTTTCGCGACCGGAATGTCTCGAATCAAAAACAAACTCCAGAAGGAACACCAAGGGCGATGGGAGCAGATCACAACCTGCAGATAATCCAAAGCCCTCATGCCAACCCTAAACAAGGAAAGGGCAGGAAAACTACTCAACATGAAAAAAGAGGAACTGAGCACCACAATCAGGCTCCTCACTGGACATGGTAGGTTTAAGACACACTGCAAAAACATGGGTATCGAAAGCGATGCCCGCTGCAGACTCTGCCTTGAGGCAGACGAGGACAGCCTGCACATACTTTGTAGCTGCCCTGCACTGGCTACAACAAGGCTAAATTGCTGGGGAACCGCCTTCCCTAGCATCAGCTATGTAGCGGATCTAGACGCCGGGAATCTACTAAAACTGGTGAGAAAAGCTGGCCTAGAATTATAGGGATCAGAAGGACAACGGAGCCACAATAGCCCAGTAGGGGTTCGGTGACAAGAGGGCAGCAAATGCCTATCCGTATTTTTAACCATAACCATAACCATAACCATCATCTCGGGTTATGCAGAGCACACTGCACTACGCTATTTTTCCTAGAAAGTGTTTTCAATCTTCATATCACTCATTTTTCGTAAAAATAATATGGAATAATTGATTCTCAAATCGTCATGGACTGGTGAAATGTAGTTTTGCGAGGTTGCCCTGACTCCAGTCGTGCTTCCGCCATTTTCTAATTATTAAGAGAGGCAGGAGGGCATATCTCATTGCGTCAACAAAACGTGTCTGAATCGATTTTAACGGATTAGGAGTCCGGATTGCATATTCCGTTATTTTTACGTAAACTCTTATTTATCGAGGAATATCACAGGACTACAGGTGAGAATTCTGTGACGTGCATCAATTTTGCGCGAGCACGGGAGAGATAGGAAACCGCGTCCAACTAATGGTCCCACAAATTGTGGAGGAAAAGAAAAGACAAAATAAATAAATATTTAAATTAATTACCGAATTTTCGCGAATTCTCGAATCCTCTAGTCGCGCCGCGAAGAGGGGTACTCCAAATTATCATCCCGCGTGGGCTGCAATTCTGTTCGCGATATCTTCCCGGGATGGTTACGAGTGCTAGCACCCCAAACGAAGGGATCCGGGAGGTGTTTTCAAATACGTCTAAGGGTGGAAGGCCAGTAGGGGTGTCACGACCAACACCCCATTGAATTGCCGATTGTGTTTGTGGCGTAGGGTATTTTTACGTAAAAAGTTTCTGTCCACGGATCCCTGGGGAGCAAACCCACCAGAACTAACGTTCTGGTGAGGCAAGAGTTCGGCCATCTGTTTAGCATTTATCGCCATGACACCATTTGGCCATAAGCCTCCGACGTGTTCAGACGTGTTTCACAGTGCGCGCATCTAGCTACAATATTGCTGCTAATCCAGTATTGTCCTCCTCCCGTGTCCCTTTTTCTTCTCTAGACGAGCATCAGTTGGGTCCACTCCGAGCTGCCGAATCATCTTTCCGATAAGTATCAGTCTCTTGTCTAAATTGTTGGTCGACCGTGGCCCAGCCACGTGTTGCACTAACCTCGCCGGCGTTCCCACCAAGGGGCTCTATCATCGCCACGATGGGTGACCACACACCCTGCAATGCCAATCTCAACTTGAAGAACGAGCTCAACTACGTCACCAATCAGCAGAACAACAACAGCAAAATAATCTTCAACGATCCATTCCTCCCCCAAGATTCTCTCTCCCCCCCTCATTCCAACCTAACCTTACCCTCGCCCTCACATGATTCTAATGACTCTCTCCTCATTGAGACTGCTCAACGTTCTTCCTATCTTGATTACGCCTTCCAGAACAACATCCCCCCCCCCTCGCTTTTAACACTATCTCGCAAAATACTCTCGCTAATTTCTCTGTTCTCTCTCCCCAAAACTCAATCACGTCCCCCCTTGTACAACCCTCATCCCGCCCAATTATCGACTCTGAGATGAGCATTCCGGACAAGAATGCTCTGGGGAAACGTACTGCCAAATCCTCTGATGAGGATGCAGACTTCGAACTCCCCAAGTCCACGAAGAAAAAACTCCACAAATCTTCCAAGAACAAGGCCCTCTCGCCGCAGCCTGAAAAGTCCACGTCGGACCCTTCCCCACCAGCCTCCCTCTCAAAAAACTCTCCTCGACGCCCCATCATCTCCCAAGAACTGCAAAAAAATCGCTTCCCCCTCAAGTCTTTAAATCAATCCTTCGAAGTCTTCTTCCAAGCCGATTACTCTGTTCCAGACACCCCTGACATTCTCGGAGTCAACCTCGCCAAAATTCTTATCAGCATACTAAACGACCTAGGCCATAACCGATCCTTCTCCAGCACCAGAAAAATTGGCTTCTCCATCCTTGTCTCCTTCCAATCCGCTAAAATTGCCAACGATGTCATGGATCATCAATCCCTGAAATCACACAACATCATCGCCTACATCCCTGAATTTAACCTCTCCAGATCTGGAATCATCAAAGATGTTCGTCTCAACATCTCCATCCCTGATCATCAATCTGATCTTATCAGCGGTGTCCCAATTAAAGAAATCTCTCGCTGCAACCGCTTCACGTCCCTTCCCGATGGGACCAGACACATGTCTCCATCTACCAGCATCCTTATTAAATTCGAAGGCCAGATCCTCCCAACGTACGTATCTCTTTACAACATCCGTTTCCAAATCTCCCCCTACTCGTCCCAGGTTAAAAGATGTTCCAACTGCCTTCGTTTTGGCCACTCCAGGACCCACTGCAGAAGCCAGCAAACCTGCAATCACTGTGGCAAGGCTGACCACAACAACCTCCCCACAGACTCCCCATGTCCAAAAGCCGATCAAGCCCCTTCCTGCATTAACGGCAGAGGGCCACACCCCTCAACTGA